ACAGTTGTTAAATGAATCACCACAGTTGTTGAGTTGGTGACCAGGTTGTTAAGTGAATCTGGCTTCCCCATTGACTTTACTTGTCAGAAGGTCACCAAGAGTAATCACGTGACTCTGGGACACTGCAACGGTTATAAATATGAGTTAGTTGGCAAGCGGCTACCAAAGAGGTTGCGGCTGGCCGCAGACCGCCGAAAAGTACCAGAGGTTGGCGAAAAAGCTGCTGCCACTGCTGCCATGTTCTTCACAAATAGAATATGGCAGCAACAGCGGCAGCTTTTTTGCTGACCTCTGGTACTTTTCTAATAGGTGGAGCCTGCAGCCGAAAGTGGCTCTGAAAGAGGCGGAAGCTAGAAGGCGTCTTTGCCAGCCACTTCTCAGCAGTGGTGGGCAGGGCAAGCGGGGTGGGGTGAGCGAGCGGTGACCAGGCAACCGGTTCGGGAGCATGGCCAGCCAGCCATCGCTACCAGTTTGCTGAACTTGGCCAAATTTCCACCACTGGTTCACGTGAACTGGTGCGAACTGGCTGAATACCACCTCTGCCATAACCATATATGATGTGCCATTTGGTTATTGTAGTGACTGCTTTACTGAGCATGATTATATCCATCTGATCCAAACACTGGAAAAAAAAGCCTGCTGAAATTTCCACTCCTTAGTGTGATGATTAAGGGTTGTGACCCAGAAGGCTGGAGTCAAGCTTTTAATGTCCAGTTTTCCTGGAATTTCATTTAATAAGGTTTATTGTAAAGGTATGAAGCCATCTCAGCAACTGGATTTCATTTTCATTTTAAAAACTAAACTTTTTCCATTTTTTAAAATCTCTCTGTGAATGGCAAGGAGCTAATAGGTGCAGCAGAGCAGACAGTGAGCTCTTGAATCTCTCTTAGATTCCTAATGTAGCATTGCAGGAGGCCAACTCAGTAATAGCCCCCACATTATGTGAGAAGATACAAAGAGGAACTTACACAACCGATCAAGACTGGGAATTAGTCTCTGGGAGACTAACAATCTCCGGGAACAATCTTTGGGCACCAGGGTCCAGTTCCGTGGAGAAAGATTTTTCCAGGGACTGGAGGGGGCGTAGTTT